TTTGAATGTTCAGCATTACTTTCTGCTCCTCACACTCTGTCAAATGGCTTCAGAAGACTTGGAATATAGTGCAAAAGTCTATTAGACCACTTGGTATTGTTCCTTAAAATAATGTGTGACCGTCCACTTTTATTATAGGCTGCATTTTGGTACTTTCTTACTGGTACCTTTCGATTGAATTCATCAGTCCCTAGAAAAGAGTGACCAGTGCAATTTCTGAAGAAAAAAATAATAATTTTAAGTTGCATGGAAGCTGAAAGTCAAACATGTTTGCAGTATAATGAGTAAAATAGACAGATTTTATTATTATTATTTTTGGGTGAACTGTTTCTTAAAGACAAGACTGAGACTGTGAGAGCAGCTGTGTCAGACAAGACTGACTGTGTAAATGAGTTTCCCGTTAAACATGTTGTTTATGTGTGTTTTGTCTCAGTGACACGGGTAGTGAAAGATTCCATTGTTCTCACATGAATCAAGATAAAATACAATGACTTTTGTTAACTCAGTTTAGAAGGGGAATCTGGGCTGAATTGTTGCGAGAAGTTCTGTTTTGTTCTCTTGAAGTGATTCTTCTTGACTTGTGACAGTCTTGATGGTTTGACATGATGTCAGAAAGCTCAGTGCTGGTAATCAGAGAGTTGATGCAGCTGCTTTCTATGCACAGTTGGTGAACATTCACATAATTCAATATTAGTCCAATATTAATAACATAATTTATTTAACAAATCTTCTCCCCTGAGTTACGTCTTCCGCCATTTTGGAGAGTATCACAACACATACGCACTCTTTCCCCGAAGCATAAACGACGCAGATTACGCAGATTACGTTCATGCGCGTGCTTTCTCCTCCGAACGTAAACAACGCTGATTACGTCGATTACGCTCTTGGATACTCTCCAAAATGGCGTAACTCGGGGGAGAAGAATTGTTAAATAAATTATGTTATTTTTATGCTACTTTGCGCTCAAAAAGTATTCTCGTAGCTTTGCAAAACTGAAGTTGAGCCACTGATGTCACATGGACTGTTTTACCGATGTCCTTACTACGTTTCTGGACCTGGGAACATTACAGTTGCTGTCTATGGGAGGGTCTGAGAGCTCTCACATTTCATCAAAAATATCTTAATTTGTGTTCCGAAGATGAACGAAGGTCTTACGGGTTTGAAACGACATGAGGGTGAGTAATTAATGACAGAATTTTAATTTTGGGGTGAACTAACCCTTTAAAGAACACAGATGCTAACGCTAGCGCAACAACTAGGCTACAGAATTAGGGTGAATTCCAAGCGGCAACCTCCCGCTCTCTCTCGTGAAGCCAACACGGAAGTGACTTAAACCGTAATTCATCAACTGGCCGCTAGAGGCTGGCTCCAAAAGGGAGTCAATCCCATAGACTCCCCATGTTAAAATGCCCAACTTTACAGCAGAAAAAAACATGTTTACAGCCTAGTTCAAAAAATGATTTTGGTCTATATAGCTAATTTTGCCCTTCATGACAACTGTGAGGGGGGTGAATTTTTTTATAACTCATCCGTTTAAATTATATTAAGCCTTAAAGTTCTGCATAATTAAGGGCGTGGCCACTTAAGTGGCAGGTGGATTGCCGCTGCTGTCACCGCCGTCGAGCTAGGTGGGCGTGGTTTCAGCAACCAGCTCCCGCCTCTTTGCCCATTTTTGATTATCCGGGAGTGACGTGCGGTGACGCGCTGCCAAGGTGGCGACGGCTGGCTCCGCCTACTTTAGGCTTCAAAAACGCTCTTCTGAAACCTATGGGTGAGGTCACGGACACTACGTCCATGTTTTTATACAGTCTATGGTGAATTCCAAATGGAAGTGAGCATCCCTATGCCCTACTCCCTTTGAAAGGTAGAGTCCTTGAAGTGAGTTCTTTGAAAGGAGTAGAGAGCATTACTGTCTCAAGTAATGCTGCCTTCATGTGCTATCAGAAACTTCCTACTTCCTACTAATCATATTTCTATTGCTGACGAAAAATATTTTGTATTTGTACATTAAAATAAGGACAAATTGAATTATATTACTTCATTTGTATGTGAAGTCAAAATCAACCCCAAATTTGCTTCAAAAAGTTCCATTGCAAGAACTCGTAACCCAAGATCATGTGCTCACAATCAGAAATCTCTTCCTTGAAGTGACTGTCGCATGTTCCCTGCTGGAAAGGCCCTTTGTGAAGGGATTCAGTTGTTCATTTTTGTTTGGAACATCCCTGAAGTGCCCTTGACAGGTGCGAAAAAGCAATTTGGAATTTGCCATTAATCTACCATAGTTAGCATAATAAAATAATATAAATTAAATAAAAACAGTGTGGTTTTGAGCCCTGTAAGGAGCACTGCCCTTGAGCAACACACCAGTTCCTCCAGGATAAAAGCTTTGTATAAATGTCTTGTTAAATGAAAACATACAATCTGTAACATACTGAACAATCAAGAATATTTTACTGTAGCAGTGCAGTTAGTGTTATTAAGTAAGTTAACTTATTAGAGAACGGAATGAGAGAGAGAGATGTATTAGCAGGTGTTGTGTTTATTCCTGTTCACAATTCATATAAATCTTAAAGATAATTAAGGAAAGCCATCTATCCCGCCATATTTGTATTATCTTTATTCCATCTTAGTTCAGGATAAGTCATAGGCTTCTTGCAACACTGAAAATAAAATATGTAATTCAAGATAAAATAAGCATTTCTTTTGGTCTCAAGACAGAGTGGTGGAAGCAAGACTTTGTTACGCTGATTATATGTAATCTCACTTTATATTGAGGACGGCAATAGCTATTAAAACTGTTGACCTGCCATTTATAAACATCAGAATTGGAAAACGTGTCCCATCTGACCAGAAGGAGGGATTAAACGTATCCCCTGTAAGATAACAAATTAATGACCAGAAGGGGGGAATATGAAAAACAGAGGTAGGGAAATCACACCCTGATTACAATTATACAATTACAGGCTAATTTCTTGAATGTACTTAGACACTGTATTTAGAAAATGCACCATTTTATTTGCCCAATGATATTGCATGTAAAATGTATTATTATTAGAGTGCTAAAATATGCATCTTTGTTAACATTTTAGCAGTTTATACTTCTGTTTAAGCATGAGTTTTGTTTCTAACGTCATCAAAGAAGTTTATAGTTCGCTGTTATGTATTTATAACTTCTGCCTTTCATGTAGGGGTTTGGTTTATAGGACGATGACAGATTATCACATGTTTGGAGAAATACAATTCTGACTGTTTCACATCCTCAGACAACACTGACGTCTTTTGGGTTGGTGAAGTATCTGTCTGAGCAGCTAAACTTGTTTGTTCTGGGCATATGAGCTGTTATGCGATACTAAAAACAAAAAATATCACAGTAAAATCTGCTTATCCATCATGTTTGAGCAGTCAGAATGATCTTACAACAATGAAACAATGTTCACAATTGTTTCCATTTAAGTACATGATGGTGATCATGTAGGCCAGTGGTTTAGGCTGGTTTCACTGCAAAAACCAGTTACAAAGGTCTTTAATTTCGGTAAATCCCTTGTGGCTTTGTGTCAAGGTTATTAGAGGTTCAGGTTGTAAAATGTCATGTGGTACAACTTCTGAAAATACAATGGTATTTCTTAATTTAAAAATCCATAAGATTTGTAAAAAGAAATTGTTAACTTTGATTTTTATTTTAAATATTAACCTCACACATGTATTTAAGGTATTTTTTTTCTTGATGGTTACACCAGATGTGTCATGTGTATGTTCTGTTTTAGTTTTTCCTTTGCTCCTCTTTCCTGACACTAGTTTGTTATCTTAGCTACTCATTGATTTGATTAGTCTCTGCACCTGTGTTTCATTTGTTTGTTTCAGTGTATTGAAGCCCTGTGTTTTCTTTTGTTCATGGTCAGTTGTCATTGCGTGTAACCCAGTTGTTCTGTTCTGTTTCCAGTACTAAGTTTGTGCAAATAAAACTATATTGCTACTGCATATGATTCAATCTCTCATCTTAATTGCATCCAAGCCGTGACAACATTTTAGAGTAATTTAATATTTTTTGGTCCCACTTTATATTGAGTGTCTTTAAATACAATGTACTTAATCATAAAATAATGAATTGTTATGTGCAATGCACCTATTGTGTTCATATTGAATTGTAAAACACTTTTGCTGCTATTGAGGTGGGATACGGGTAGGCTAGATGCAGGTTTGGTGGTCAGGTTAGGTTTAATGGGTAGAAGTAGGGTTGATTGATAGATGTAATTACAGATATTAAAAACAGATTTAATTACAGGATGGTATTTTAAAATATAAGGACAATGTAAAAACATGCATGTACACAATACGTCTATGTATTAAATTATTCATTTAAATGCAAGTACACAGAATATGAAGTGGGTCCATTTTTCTTGAACTGTATAAAAGCCATACGGTTAGAAACCACATTAAACCACTCTTGGTTTGTACATTTCTAAGAACTTGGCACACATATTTTATGCTGTGTTTTATATGTTTTAGGTTTTATGCTGCATTTGTTATAATCATGTATAACATCAGTTTATATAAATGTCAAACATAAGGAATGTATTAAAATTATATGTTTAAATAATCGGACAAGTATGCATTTGTATTATACAGTATAAAAACCAGTGGTCCATTGAGTTCCCTCAAGCTGTGTTTAGAGCACTGAAGCATGTCCAAAATATAAAAATACAGTCACAGGCCATAATTTCACATGTGTGGATCTAACATGTACAGTACAGTAAATCCTGTACATAAGTATACATAGATTATGCTTAAGTTCTGAGCCTTTCACTGTCACCAAACTAAACAAGTAACAGACAGTGGGGTTTGTCTAAACAATGCAGCGATGCAGTGACTCTGCAGATTTTGCAAGATGTTTTGCAAGGTTTGGTAGAGACCCGGAAGTTGCATGAATGTTTACTTGTGATGTCATCATCATGGGAATTCACTGGACCAAGCCCTGGTTTACTCTCATCCATCCAGTATTTAAGGCACAGTACCACAGATGCCAGAGTAAATACAGACTGTGACATTACACTAACTGGACAAGAACATCTGCTCAAGGTGAGCCATTCATCTCTTAAACTTATGCTACATTTATGGCTTTTTAATCTTAATTATTGGTAACTAAATAATAAATGAATGCAAGTAAGCAAAACTTATAAGTAAAATTTTTAATCTGTGCAAAACCACTATTTGACTTTACCAGAGAATAATAGTTTCACATTATGTTCTTTTGAAGCTTTTGATTTGCAGGATGAAGACTTTACATGCAATGCTGCTGATGATGTTTGTTGCATCAGTCTTTTCAAAACCAGTAAGTTTTCAGTAATGTTTTCTTTTACATTTTAATTTTAGTGTGATTTACTTTTTTTAAATAAATGTTACTATTATACTTTAATAACTTTTGTCAAGAGCGTACTATTATTAACGTAATTATTAACCGTTTAAATCCTCAGTCTCGTCTGCACAGAAGGTCTGATTCATCAGACTCGGAGGGTTCGGATGAAAATGATTCACGCGGAAGATTGAACATCGAGGATTCACAGTCGGTCGAGAATTCTGACGAGTCTAATGAATCTTCTGAGGAAGTTGTGCCAAGAACAATCCCTCCAACTAGAACAAGAACATGAATCATCACGACACGAGACATCCCACAGTGTGTTACTATGGATCTGACAACTGAAATAATGGGCAATAAATATAATACCAATATAATATCTTGCAATACTACTGCTTAATCATCTTTTCATGCAAAAAAAAAAAAAAAAAAAGAATGTTTAATGGTGTACAATTCATTATGGTTTGCACTAATGAAACTGATTGATGTAACCTTAAAAAATTAATTACTTTTAAATTCAGAATAAAAAATCTTTCAAATGCAACCAGTTGTCATAATTATCATTTCAATCATAATTTTCTAATGGGTGATATGATTGTCTGAAGTAAGAAAATATGACATGGAGCCTACAGTATTCTATTTTTCTAATTCAATATCATAATTCACTTTTTTTGTGAGTTCAAAATAAGTAAGATTAACAGCATCATCCTATGGGATTTCAAAAGAACTTCAATTAATCTCAACAATTTGCATCATATATTGCATGCAGATTACACAGACTCAAGAGGTGCAGCTGCTGAGTGATATTGAAAAGGCGAGGGGTGATTCTAGGATTTCAATATTAGGGGGGCTCAGCCCTAATTATTGTACAATCAAAAAATAGTTAATATATTGTTAGGGCACGCAGGAACAAGACACACAAGGTTCTACACTACCTAAGTCAACTTCTGAATATTGATTTTATTTCAAAATCATTTCAGCTAACCAGATCATATTCATTAATATTCATTTAAAATATAGATAAACCTTATATTACTGTAATTATCTAGATTGGCAGTATGTTTAATCTGCCCTATATTAAATCATTCCTATTTTGTTTTCTATTTAAAAAGTAACACATGAACCTATCAATGTGATTAATTTAAGTTAAACGATAATGTCTTTAATAATGTCTGTGCATGATATTAATCTAATGCCACATCTGCAATAATATGTTTTAATTAAAAAATTACAATTTTAAATGAAAAGAACATTTTCTAAAATAAGTCTTCTTGCTCCATTTTTTGCTGGAAGAAAACAACTGTTGTGTGATAAGGCGGGGTGAATGCATATATGCTTGTTAAAATGCCTTGGGAAATATAGATATAAACTGCAGGGGCACATACTGCAGCCCAAAGAAATACTGTATGACACACTTGAATGTTTTAAATTTGGAACCTAAAAGAAAACTTTCACACAGAAAAACTGGACAAGTGTCGTTCACAGCTATACCTCCAAATTTAATATAAAATATTATCACATCTAATTATCAAAAGCCCATTTATGATGTTGATATATGTGTGCTGATATGATGCATTTGTTTCTGCTGATCTGGGCCAGGTTTCACAATAACGATGGTTCTTAGCTCTTAAGAGCGTTCTCTACGTGTGAGGTTACGATCGCTCGCTGCAATTCCACGTGCGTTTCCCAAAAATGCACTTAACAAGAACACACGTTCTACGTGCTACTTAAGAGTCGCTGTCCGCTTGTCAGGTGCTGAAATATTACCTTATAGAATCGTATCCTCGAACCTAATATTGGTCACCTGATGTGGATTAGAAAAAAAATACCTTTCAACAAGATGTTCTTCTGGAGGAGGTGGAGCGAAACAAAGATGTAATTTTCAGCAGTTTTAAAGGACGCCATACAAATAAGGAAAAACAAAACATAGGGGAGGTCTTTGCTACAAAATTAAATGCAACCAGGGTGTTAAGAGATCAGGGAAGGAGGTCCACAAGAAGTGGCTGGATTTTGCAAGCCTGGCAAAAAGGAAGAGGGCACTGCAGAGGATGGCAATTAAAAAAACCAATTGGTTGGACCAATGACTCTCCCCTTCTCACAGCAGAGGAAGAAAGGGCCTTGTCAATACTTCAGATGGCATTTGTGGTGGTATTGACCTCCATGGAGGAGTAGGGATGCCTCAACCTGAGCCTGAGTCAGGTTCTTCATGCTCAGAGGAACTATCGGTTTCACCTGCCATCTCCCGGCACCAACCATCTCCTAGTCCTCCAAACAACCCCCTCAGGCCTCAGCCTCCATCTTCAATTGTCCAGACCGCAGTCACAACACCTCAGCAGTTTGAGAATGTCTGTGAGGTGTTAAGAGATCAGGGAAGGAGGTCCACAAGAAGTGGCTGGATTTTGCAAGCCTGGCAAAAAGGAAGAGGGCACTGCAGAGGATGGCAATTAAAAAAACCAATTGGTTGGACCAATGACTCTCCCCTTCTCACAGCAGAGGAAGAAAGGGCCTTGTCAATACTTCAGATGGCATTTGTGGTGGTATTGACCTCCATGGAGGAGTAGGGATGCCTCAACCTGAGCCTGAGTCAGGTTCTTCATGCTCAGAGGAACTATCGGTTTCACCTGCCATCTCCCGGCACCAACCATCTCCTAGTCCTCCAAACAACCCCCTCAGGCCTCAGCCTCCATCTTCAATTGTCCAGACCGCAGTCACAACACCTCAGCAGTTTGAGAATGTCTGTGATTGTAGTCAGGACTTAGTGCAGCTGGAGAGATGTCTTGAAATACATTAGACAATGTCTTAAAGAGGCCAATAATAGGAACAACCGGAGGCAGCCGGAGGAATGTAGTCCCGAGGCGAGGGCAGGTCGACGACCAACCAAGGCGGAGCCAGAGGGACGAGGGAGCCCGGCAGAGCTGGTGGACCGACGGGCCACAGTGGAGAGGGAGCTAAGAGCCATGGTGGAGCCGCTGGGTCGACGGGCCGAGGCGGAGTCCGGGCCTCGGAGGCTGGAGGCAGAGACAAGGGATCCTCCAGCCACGACGCCGATGGAGACTGGCAGACCCGTGGCAAAACCACACCACTGATAGTGGGCTGAGGACGAGCAGAGGGGCTGACAGGAGGCAGCGGTGGCGGAGATGAGGAATGGGTGATGATACGAGGAGGTGGGAAAGGGAGGCTGGGTGGGAAATCATGACTGGTAGCAGGTTCTGGGATGGTGTGTGCTGCCCACACACACACCAAATGGCAACAACCATGACAGGGAGTGCTATAACCACTCATATTAATATTTAAACCAATGATAGTTATATATCTGATTTTGGGTGGGTTTCCAACATAAACGTTGATTAATTCTACTTAATAAAATAAGGCAGCCACAAAACTTTTTTTTAACTTGTATTTAGGGCTGTGCAAAAAATCTCGTCAGTAAAGCCGCTCCTGTGATTATTAGTAAATCTCCAGCACGTGCTTTCAGATGGAGCGGCATTTACTACACAGAGCCATAGTTCACTGACAGGCTACACAAAATCGCAAAACACAAAATCACAAAAACTGACGAGATGCGCATGAAAAGCATTTTTTTAATCGCATCGATTTTTTGCCCAGCCCTACTTGTATTCCTTTTAATTGTAATGATAGTAGAGAAACAATACACATTTTGCACCAAACACAACAGTGGAAATATCAATCAAACACCACTTGTTCATCTGAGATCAAAAATTGACCCATCTTGATCAAACTATGAATCAAGTCTTTGTGTGTGAAAGCACTATATGTGTAAAAGTCAAAGAAAACGGTCTTATCTGTGATTGTTAGACACTGAAGGAGTCCAATGGAGACAACGACTGAAGTAAATGTTGTCCTTGAATCACAATTATAATCCATATTGTAGAGCGTTAAAAAAGTCCTTAAAGCAACTCCATGGTAGGGAACCAAACAGGTGGACTTTAGTAGGCCTACTTGCCAACGCCACCAATGAAGATTCCAATTCAATCCACAACGCTTCCATAAGTATCAAGCATAACGTAGAAAAAGACCCTTCTACAAACAGAAAAAACACCTTAATTATTATCCTACCTTACTACCAATTAAACACAGAAAAAAATGCACAATAGTTTTGTTTTCTATAAAATAGCTCATCAAAATAACTCTTTCATAAATAAATGAATGCAATAAAGTAACCATACTCACAGTTGAGAATGAAACAAAAATGTTTCTCAACAAGGGCCTTCCCCAAATGCAGCAGATCAGCTCAAACACTGCTACTAGGCACGTACCCCTTGTCCAAATACCCACACTTGTGGTCTTGGCCACTTGACAGCGCGTGCGCGCGACAGGAAGTAAGTGCGCAAGACTGTCCCAGTTCTTAAAAACTCCAAAGCGCAGTGCCCTTAATGCACACTAAATCCACACTATCTGGAATACCGCTATTCGAGGCTTAGTGTATCCTATCATGCATCATGTTGTGGAAATAAATCGTGGGACTTTTTGCCGAGATCTCGCGACAGGTCATGGAAACCTTTCCAATGTATGTTAAATATTAATAATAGTTAGATATTACATATAATTTGGTAGTAAAACAAAGAGTTGCACGTTTTATGGGTGCAAATGAGTAGTGGTGATTATTATTTTGTATAACGTTTGCAACTACATTTTATTACTTAATTAGAAGCACCACAAAATTAAATTGTGCCATCTGTTATAGGGACTACTGAACAGACATTTAGAAGTTGATTTTAAAATGCAAAGTATTGAAAATAAAAATAAAGCTTTGTAAACACTTGCAGTTTTACAACACTATAGTGTGTCCCATTAGGTAATGAAAAGTTCTGCACACACTTGTGGTCTTCATGCTCATTTGAACACTTGGACCAAATACAGGAAATACGTCATATAAGTGGTCAAGTGCCAAGACCGCAAGTGCGGGTATTTGGACAAGGCAGTAGGCACACTACCAAAAGGTATGCTTACTCTCTTGTTCTATTAAGCTACTACATTTATCCGTGATCAACCGAAGTTTAGGCTGCCCCCTACAAGCGAGGAATAAAACTGCAGCTGCACTCAACTAGTAGCAGGCTGAAGACTGTTACAGTGCCACGGACAGGGGAACGAACTCCATGGTCATGACAGGACAGGCAGATAGTTCCAGGCAGACAAACAGTTCAAAACAGACCTTCATGGTCATTTCAGGATATACAGGGAGTTCATAAACGACCTCATTGGCCGTAACAGGACAGGCAGAGATTTCAGAAGATGATGGAAGACTGGGGATAACTGAATAAAAGTCTTTAAAATCCTGCCTCAGCTCACCCTCAGCGGTGGAACAGTGGGCGGGGCTTTCCTCCGCCCCCTTGCTCTCCACTGTTACATCCGCTGCGTCAGTTGTTACCGGTGTTCTGACGATTTGTGCTACCCGCTCAGATTGTGCTACCT